TCAGCAACAGATTTAGGTTTCATTTGTAGAAGGTACATGCTATGCATTTTAAAGCAGTGGTTTATTTTGATATTTTTTCATTTTAATTTTGTAGCTACATCAGAAAACTAAATTATGATTTGGTTATTTTATTTACCAAAGCTAATTGAAGCCTTATGAAGTCATTGGGGGTTGAACTATCTCCAATTCACTGGATTAATCATGGATATTTGGGGGATATTTTTGTCGCGCTTTATTAGGACAACAACCATCATCAAAACAACAGACTTTTAAATTGTTTTATTCAACTAAAACAGCTAGCTTACGTATTTTAGATATTTTTCTTCAACAGCAAACATGTATAATTATTTTAACAAAACAAGTGTGTATTTTTGAATTTTTTACTATTTTAATTATAAATGTGAAATGTGTTTATAACAAAAAATAAATAGATTATTTCAGCCAGGTAAACACGAGAAACTTAAAATACTTGCAGAGAGACAATAGGGCTGAAGGATAGGTAATCAGATCTGTTCTCTCTTATCTCCATATACTGCTGTTAAAAAGGATGTTACCTCTGCACAAATCCACAGTTTGAGAACTGAAAGTAAGTATCACATAGATGCTTAATGGGATTCTTCTAGACTGAGCACTGAGTCGCATGGGGTAGAGAAGGTTTCTTTAATCTTTACTAATGTATAGAGCAGCCACTGTAAAATTGGGCCCCTAATATAGTCCATGGCCTGTTGTCACTTATTTAGAAAACTTTTCTAAAAAGGTTACGTGAATATATTGTCTCAAATAGTATATCATTAAAAGTTATAATCCCCATTCCATGATGATATCTTTGAGCTTTAACCTATCTTAAATTAACACCATCTTTATATAGGTTTTTTTAAAGCATCTTAACAAACAAAAAAAAGATTAAATCAAAAAATCCAATTTAAATCATAAAATCCGATTTTTTTAATTTTTAAAACCATCACTGATTTTTATCCACCCTGTTTGTAATGTAGCTGGGTTAGTTCCCCACTTTGAGATGACCAACTTTTGAAGTATGTTGTTGTGGGCGCCGACTTTCCCTTTTGTCTTCTCTACACGTGCTTTGAAGGCAAGTGTTTGGGCCGATGTAACCCCCAAGTACACAGGGTTCTGGTGATCACCCAGTGGGATTCCATCCCAGATTGTTTCATTTCTGTTTGGATTCTCTATGGTGTAAGTGAAAAGGTGTGACCTGCATCTTGGTTGGGTTGGCATGAAGCTGGTTCTGACTACAGTAATCTAAGAAGTTGCTCAGTGAGTATGTCAGTTTGTTTCTTGACAGTGTGGCAAAGTCATTCTCTTGTGGTGTGATGCATAGATCATCAGCATGTATGAAGCTCCTCATATTACTCTGTATGGGTTGGTCATTGGTATATGTGCTAAAAAAGATCAGTGCTAGCATGCTACCCTGCAGCGGATCATAGATTCATAGATTGTAAGGCCAAAAGGGACCTTGGAAGATCATCGGGTCCAGCCCCCTGCACCAAGCAGGAAAGACAACTGGGGTCAGGTGACCCCAGCAATGTGACTGTCTAGTCTCCTCTTGAAGGTTTCCATGGTAGGCGATTGCACCACCTATGGAGGGAACTTATTCCACAGTCTGGTCACCGTGACTGTGAAGAAGACTACCCTAATGTTGAGCCTGAATCAGTCTTCCAGGAGTTTGTGGCCATTACTTCTGGTTTTCTTCTTGGGTGTCCTGGTGAACAGTTGCTCACCGAGCCCTTGATGTACTCCACGAGTGTAGCAGCAAGCTGCTACCAGGTCCCATCTCAGCCTTCTTTTTCTCAGACTGAAAAGTCCCAGATCCCTCAGCTTTTCTTTGTATGGCTTGCCTTTTAAGACTCTGATCATACTGGTGGCTCTTTTTTGGACTCTCTCAAGCTTGTCCACATCCTTGTTAAAGTGTGGTGCCCAAAACTGGACACAGTACCCCAGCTGTGGCCTCACCAGGGCTGAGTGGAGTGGAAGAATCACCTTCTTGGTTTTGCTGGAGATGCATCGATTGATGCATGCCAGAGTATTACTTGCCCTTCTGGCTACAGCATCACACTGCCGGCTCATATTCATAGTGTGGTCAAATACTGTGGTCATTTTGTCGTCAAATACTGTGGCTCCATTTCTTGCACAGTTCTACATAAAAATGTCTATTCTCTAAAAGAGACTGGATGGGCTGTACTAGGTGGTCGTTGTGCATCATACTGTAGACTTTGGCAATCAGGTTTTGGTGGCTGACTGTGTCATATGCTGCTGATAGGTCTACAAACCCAATACCTGTTATCATCCCTTTCTCGCATCCACCTTTTGCAGTGCAGACAGAAGATACAGAAGATGTTTTGTCTTGAAATGTCCAGAATTTCACTCGATTGGCCATTTTTTAAGATGCCTGCAGCCATGCACTTGTGTTTGGTCATGGCTATAAACTGCTTTCAGTGGCCAAATTGGGCAAAAATTGTCATTTCTGTCTGTGTCCCTATATGTTAGGTGATGTTTAGTATTTGGCTAGTGCAGGACTTGCCTAGTCTAAATCTGCTTGTTCTGGTAGTAGATGCTGTTCAATATGATGTGAAAGGTGATTGAGAAAAAGGCCTTGGTAAAGCTTATAAAGATGGCACAGAAGTGATGCTAGCCTAAAGTTCTCTGGGCCAGAGGCATCCTTCCCTGGATTTAATATAGATATTACACAGGCCTGTCATTGTAATTTAGGTATTTTAAGGGTTGATGAGCAATTGTTAAAAAGGTGTAATACGCATAACTTGGTTGCAGGACCAAAGTGTTTGATGTGCTCCATGCATATGTCATCAAGTCCAGGTGCTTTGCTGTTCTTCAAATGACTTATTCTGCCATCAAGTTCATCCATTGTGTATGGCATGCTAAAATGATTTTCCTTCATATCAGTTTGCCGCGTAATCCATATTTTAGACTGTTTTTCCATAGCTTTACCATTGAGCAGAAATTGGTGAGCCATCTGATTGGCTGTGATGTTATGGTGTTGCTGTACTTTCTTTGGGTTGTTAACTCAGCTTGTGAACAGTTAACCATGCTTTCCTGCTAGTGTGGGTCATATCTATTCCTTCGATCAATTCTTTCCATTTCCCTTACATTTCTTCTTGGAGCTTGTTAGTTAGGACTCTCCATGCCTCAGTAGTGTCTTCTTCTGAGAAAGGATCTCTTTGAAGCATTTACTGGTATTTTTTGTATTCAGCTTCTGGTATGGGAGTAAGCCCTGGTACATACTCTGTTCTGAATCCTTGAGGTATATACCTCTTAGAGATTTGCACAGTGCATTCACGAAGAGGTCATACTTATCTGAGACTAGTTTGATGTGTCACTTCTTTGTCAAGGTTTTCAGGAAAGCCTCTCCAGTCTGCTTTCTTAAAATGACAGTGACTATGTATTGGTATGTATGGAGTTATGGCTACTGTGATACTGACAGCAATTGATCTGTGCTGTGTATGGGGAATGGGTTCCAAAATGTCTTTTTTGCACTTCTATATTGCTATCAATAAAGGCGAGGTCAGGATTATAGCTTCATCTCCATCAGGGGCTAGTCACCCAGATAGCTTTGAATTGTAGATCAGGCTCAGGTGGTATGCCTCAGCCCACATCTCAACCAAGTTGCCATTCTCATCATTTTTACTGTAACCCCATATGATGCTGTGGCTATTAAAGCCCCCAATGATCACACATGCTTTTTCATTGTTTATGTTTCCTGGGTTTACAAGGTAAAATGCTTCCATTGAAGCTTATAAATGGACGTTACTGAGATGTTGTCCATATTCATGGTCAAGATTTCTATGTCATTTTGTTCTGCCATTGATGTTGTGTTGATGACAAAGTCTGATTTTATGAACATAGAGCTGAAGTATTTCCAGTGCAGCCTTTCTAGGGCTAATTTCATCCTAGGGAACAGTGGCCCTCTGTGTGTCTCCTGGAGACAGAGCACACAACCATTGTAGTTGATGCAAATCCTGGGAAAAAATGTCCTGTTTGACGGTCTAACGTCCTGTGTCACAACCATAGGCCTTTTTCGGGGCCAGCACTGACAGTCATCTTTGTGAATCCCTCTATGTTTAAAGAGATGACTGTCAGTGCTGGCCCCGAAAAAGGCCCATGGTTGTGATACAGCAGATCAACGTGTTGCGAATTAGAAATTTACATTACATACATTCTGAGATTGCTGATGAAAGGTTTTAGCAGAATTGGCAGAATCATTGAAATCTGATAGGGACCAAGTTGTGAATGCTTCTGCTATGGCCTGAATGGGGAACACAGACTCATGAAAGAGCTCCAGTTGGGTGAAGGCACCTTCTAAAGAAAGGTGATGAAGCAGATTACCAGGTAAAACCCAGAAGGGTGGCCATTCTTCTTTACCTGCCCTTAGTGAAGGAATTATTAAAGATAGAGGGAGAGACTACTGAGAATTACTCTGGGTTGAATAAAGATTGTTAAAGCACCAGTGACCAAAGTCCCAAGTGAGGAATGGCAGTTAGTGATACAGATGAGGAAACTCTACATCATAGAGAGCAAAGGACAAAAAGTGAGCATCAATAGCAACCTTAGTTACCAAAACCTAACAAGACTCCTCCGAGCAAGCAAAAACAAAAATATGTATTAGCTGATAACTCAGCCAAATGTAGGTAGAATGTACAGATGAAAGGCATACCCCTGACATTAGCATCAGATCCTTAAAGATTTCAAATCCCTGCCCCAAAACATAGGCGCACTTAACATATGTAAACTGATATATTTTTTCTTGACTTTTTTTCTGGGAAATGACCAAACCATTTAATGTCAAATGTTCAAAAATGTCAAGCTGAGGCAAGTGCCTGGCATAACCAACTTCAGTCCAAACGGTTTGCCAAAGTTTGCCGAAGTTTAAGCAAATAAAAATTGGACCTTGTAATATGAAAATCTATAACGTAAACTTTTGTAATAAATGGTGCCATCTGCCTCACCAGCAATATTTTCATTTTCAGGGTTTAATGATAAATCTAAGAATGTGTGTATCAAAGTTGCTGCGCAGACAACAGATGCAGTGAACCAGACAGAACAGAATGCTTCAGCAACATCAACTAGAGCTGAGAAGATTAACATCACAGAGACAACCACGGAGCACGCATTGCCCTCACAGTCAAGCACATTACCAAAGTACAGCCCATTTTCAATTCCTACAGGTTGGCTGGTCATTTGTATTGTGTTTCATTTTGGTTTGTTAAAACGTGTTTCTGGGTGCCTGTAGATTTGCAAGGACTCTGTTCTGATGTGCTGTAAGTACAGCACGTCGAAGCAGACTCGATTACTTGCGTCTTCTGGATCATGCCAATTAGTGAGCTCCAGCAGCATCTGCATCGTATATTTAGTGTCCCCATGCTTCAAAATGGTGGTGGGGGGAACTTTAACTAAAGTGCATCAAACAAGCTTTAGTTGAATCACAGGACGCTGAATACATTAGATGCTGCAAGTGCTTTAATTAGAGCAGCTCTCAGAGCTTTAAAGATGCCCTCTGTGTCTTATCTGCAGCAGGCGCAGAGGTGTGTTTGCACACATGCCTGGATTCTCTCCCTTTCCCCTCCTATTCCCTGAGCAAAGGAAGCATCTGTTATTTCTGCTCTTCTCCCTACTACAAGTTGCTGGTTTGTTCCTGATAGAGGCATAAACTCATACAGATAAAAGTATTACATGTGTTTCCTACTCATCCACCCCACTATAAGAACCCTTGTTGGAAACTGCTGTATTAGAGGGTCTTTTCTGCTCAGCATTCACTGCCGGATTGACCAAGGGATATTACAATGATTTTTCTAGCAGGGTAGAATTTTCACAGGATCCATTTTCTGTGATATACAGACACTTTAGAAGCATTCCTTAGTGCCATTGTAGCAGGGGTGTACTTCAGGGTAGCTCTAATCTTTTGGATGTTGCATTGAACTCTAGCAGTCTTAGAACACTGTAGCCATATTGCCTGTTTATATGGTCCCTGTGTCAAGTTCTCTACTGGCACTGATGTTGATTTGAGTCTGTTTCACACCTTCAATCCAAAGCTCTCAAAGAGATTTGCAAGCATTATTTCAGCACAATGTGCCTAAGATAGAGGTAAGCATTACTGGGTCATTTAACAGAGTTGGAAACTGAGGCACAGAAGGTGCATCTACACATCTATTGATCACGAAGCAATAAACTCCAGCACAGTTTGCACCAGAGTCAGCTACTCCCAAGTGCTGCGTCTTCACATGCGCCTGGGACCACAGCTGTTTGAACTGAGGTGGAGTAGCCCTGGGCTGGCAGGGGACTTGGGGAGTTAGTCATAGGCTCCAGATGGAGATATTGGATGGTGGAGGAGCTGGCTGGGGCTTGAGGGAGCTATAGTGTTGGGTAGCTGGCAAGCAGTCCCTGCATTTTAGCACCTTCATGTACCAGCCAGCCCTGGTCACTGTCTACACATGTATTTTGGTGCACTAAATGACTCTGTTGTAGGATAGTACTTGTCCCAAACAGTACTATCCTACAGTGGAGTTAGTTATTTTACTGTGCCCTAATATGGGAGCACATGTAGATGGTGACACTTTCCTGGGGAGCTAATTAGTCAGCTCTGCAGTAAAGCATATGTGTAGATGTACCCAGAGGAGTTTTGTCTAAAGCAGTGACTCTCAACCATTTTAGACACAAGGCACCCCTGAATAGACTTGGGGGGACACCAGGCCCCCTAGAAAAATGCCACCTCTTCATTTTCACTTGTTTTTTTACTAAGGTAAAATAAAAAGCAATTCTTCTGTTGTAAAGAACTCAGAAAACGACAAAAGGGAAGGATGTTTTTAACACTATGGATTCCTATTGGGAATCTCTGGATTTATTGTGTCAGTCATGTTTGCACACCTAACAGTGCTAACATTGCATGCAACCCCATGGCACCCTTAAAAGGATCACAAGGAACCCCAGGGTGCCGTGACACTCTTGTTGAGAATCACTGGTCTAAAGACCAGGTCCACTGATTCCCAGCCCAGTAATTTAATCATAAAACTATTCCACTTAAGCAGAAGCAGAGCTTTGATCACTCAGAGGTTCCTGGGGCTGCTGTTAGATGTTCACTCCATGGGGAAAGTTTGCAGTTTTGCCACCATTCATGTCCCCAGTTCTTTACTTGGCTTCCTTTTGTGTTCACTGTAGTAGAGAGGAAATGGTTGCCAGAGAACTGTTCTCTGATTCTCAGGACAGAGTAGTGCCATCCTGGGGACTGTTCTAACTTGTGCCAGCTGGCCTCTGTTCCTAAGGACCTGCATTCCAGCATAGTCCGAGCAGTACATGCTCCAGCCATGATTTTCACTTCCATGCTTCCCCTCTATTCTCAAAGTTTCCCTGTATTTGGAGCTGAAGATGGCCTAGGAGCCCCACACCTTGGCTTGCCACCAGCTGAGAACCCCTACACACCCCAGAATTTATTAGCTGCCCAGATCAGTTGGTTGCAGCCTCTCTTGCTATCTAGCCAGTGAAAACAGGGGCAAGAGCACAAGTGCAGCATATGTTAAAGGTATTTTACCTAATATAGGTAGTTGTACACCAAACTCTCTGGCCCATTATTTATGTAACTCAAGAACAGAATGAAGAATATATGCCCGTTCATATGACAGGTGAGTAAGAATGCGAGTGATGAGCACAATTTTAGCAGTTATTGCAGTTTATACCTTTACTCCACACTGAAACTGGCTGGGTCACATCAGACTGATGACTCACTTTTTCCATACCCCCCCTCCCCCCGAAGGTGTGGTAGTGTTCCCTAGAATTTCAGTTTTCTTACCTTATAATGGTCTAAAAATATACATGTTGTAGAATAGATGCAGGCAAATTGGTCTAAGTTCACAGATAGTCAGAACAACTATTTCTATGAGGTATGCCCTGCCTCTTTCATCTACTTAACTGAAGGTAGCCAGATACTCAATGATGATAATTCAAAAGGAACTTTATCCTTTATTTTTATTTATGTATTTATTTGATTTATATGCTGCCCCACTCAAGGCTCAGGGGAGCTTACAAAAGAGAGCAAATTTACTTATAAAACAGGCAAAAAATATTGAAACAGGAGAAACAACATACAAAAGTATTAAAATAAACTATATAACAACCCTGCCCCCCGCCCCCCCCAAAAAAGGGTGCAGGGAAAATTACATGACAAAGAACTGCACAATATCCTGTGAGGGGCATATGCATTCATTATCATGAATAGGGAGGCACATAAAGCATTATCATCATTTTTTTCCCCTGCTGGAGATGAGCAATGGGCGCCCAGAGGGACATCCAAATTAAGAGTTTGTCCAGGCCTCCCCAGATCAACTCTCAGAGTAGATAAATGTGGTATGTTAGCATGCCCAATGTGAGGCCAGTTAGCCTCCCCAATATTAGGCAAACTCAGGCAGCCGTCACCATGCTAATGTTCTGATCACGTGCTCAAATTTCTCTTCACAACCCAGCATAAGACAAACAAAGGGTAGGAGTTAACTGAACTTTCTGAACAATGCCATTGGATGACATTGTCCCCCAGTCAACCTTCTGTCTGACCCCGTTATAGGCCTTGGGATATAGTGGAGCTCTTCAGAGGCTGCCTGATCATGCTTAAAGAACCTGTACCATCTAACATGTATGTTGTGCTCTTTTGGTATCCAATGGGCAGAGCTTTGGAGAATAGCACTTTCTGCCCAGTTCAACCTTTAGGAACAGTCCCATCATGTTGGGGTACTGAATCCCAGTGCCTCACAATAAGAAACATATCCTGCCCTGCAGGCCTTGTCATGTAGATTACAATGGATGTAGCAAGGATTCATAAAGGGAGGATAAAGGCCATAGGAATCATAAGACATGCAAAGTGTCATGCAAAGCAGGATCATGTAGTCTGTCAACTTTACTAAATAACATTTCCTGCTGCACTTTTAATTCATTGTGATGTTGTATTTAAATTTAACTTAAATTAATTAAATGTACCAAACAGAACTAGAGTTCCCAGAAAATCACACTGAACACAGGCATGTGAACATGATCGCTGAACCCACACAAGTACCTGAGATGACTAGCAGACATGAAATCAGGATGACCAGGGAAACTCTAGGACCCATCAGGACAGACACACCCACTGCAGAACCCCCAGGTAAGGAAGAACAAACATCTCCAAGTATTAATAGAACAAACACAGTAATAAGGATAGTCCTTGGTGGTCCTAAAATACAAGAGCTATCTAAGCAATAACCATGAAGTTTGAAAGCCCAAGTCCAAGTTTTAGGTTTGTTTTAAGGAAGTAAAGACAGAATTACAAACATCAAGAGAAATCAGTAGAGTAAGTTAAGGCACATAGAAATGGGAGACCTGAGTTTTAAGCCTTCCACAGCCCTCACTTCCCAGGAAACCACCCTAAGCATCAGCTGCTGGAAAAATACTGGGGAAGTGAGCCATCTACCCCCTTCCAGTTTTAGCTAGACTTCTGGGAAGCCAAGACTGCAAGAGGTATGGGACCAGAGAGAGCAAATGTGCAAGCAAGAAGTACCCTGATTAGTATTTCAGAGTTTAGGCCACTCAGGGAGGAAAGGTAAGTTCTGAGTTCCAGTCCCTGGTTCCCAGCATACTTTGCACATTCAACACTAGGCAATAAGTGATTAAAAGCAGAAAGAACCCTCTGAGCAGTAACAAAAAGAACCCGATGTGGCCCTAAGAGATAAGAAGTACAAGTAATAATAAGTAGAGATGTGCAAAGCAGGCCCTACTGGATTTGGATTCGGCCTGAATTAGGGACAGTGATTCAATTCGTTGATTAGGATCACTGTCCCTGATTCAATCTGGCCAAATCAGAATCTGAAGATTCAACGCTGATTTGAAGAATCAGCGATTCGGACATAGACACTGCTTTAAAAGTTTTTTCTACATACCTTGTAGTACCAGACGCAGCTTGTGATTACTGCGATGCTGGGGCACATGGAGCATCCTGTGGGAGTGCAGGGGGCCCTCCATGTGCTTGGCACTGAACCCGGAAGTGGACTAGAAGTACTTTCAGTCCACTTCTGGGTCTGCCAGGGAGTGTGCTGGGGGCCCTCCATGCGTCCCTGCCTCAGGGGGACCCTGGGTACCCCCGCCCAGATGCAGGAGGCACCAGTCACTGAGCCGGGGGAGTACAGGGGGGTCCCCCTGTGCACTCCCTGGTGGACCCAGAAGTGGACCAGAAGTGCTTCTGGTCGACTTCCAGGTCTGCTGCTGAGCGCACTTGGGAGCCCCCTGTGCTTCTGTGGTACACTCCATCCACCCCAGCATCATAGCATTCACGAGCCCCTGCTACCTAGAGGTATGCAGAAAAAACATTTAAAGCTGTCTCTATGTCCGAATCTTTCCGAATCTCTCCAAATTGATTCGGAGGTCTCCGATTTGATTCAGGAAGTTTAAAGTGTCCTCTGATTTGATTCAGATTTGGAGATTTGGCCACTGAATTGGGCCATATCTTTGCTGAATTGAATCAGGATCTGAAGCTTCGCACAGCCCTAATAATCAGCTATGAAATTTACTTTTAGGGACTCAGTAACCCCTGGGCCAGTCTTAGTTTGTGGGAATATCTACCAAATTCCAGTTTTAAGTTTTGTTGCAAGGAGATAAAAACAGTATTGCAAACTCTAAGTGGTATTCATTTGAAATTGAAGGGAGACATTTCTTAAACACAAAAACATGGATGAAAAATAGAAACATTTACACTTTTTTCTTTTTCTATTTGTGATTTTGACAAGCTCTAGAAAAGGTTTAAATTCATTAATTTTAGAAGAAATTACCAAAAATTTTAAAAAATACAAAAAAAACCCCCAAATGGGCCATAATTGGCAAATATCACACAGGGAGAGAGAAATCCTGCCCTGAAACTGCCTAGAGTAAGACATAAAGGATGAAGCCATTAGGACTCCTTACACAGACTTGCCAAGTGTCAAAGGTGGATGCAAGTATAGAGGAAGGAGGAAGTGAAATTTAGCAGCAGCCTTTCCTGTTCCTTCCCATCTGTGCAATCACCAGAGTGGTAAGATCAGCTGAAAGCAACTAGCTTGGCTGGGGCTCAGTTGTGTTAAGTGTCATATAAACATAGGAGGCAGTTCCTGGCACAACAATTTTACATAATAAAATGAAAACCAGATTGAGACAGAGTAAATAAGCAGCAGCATGCAAGGAAGGTAGTCAGAGTGAAGACACAGACATAATTAATAGCTGCATAATTACTAACATTAACAAATAATAACTTGCAAATTGTGATTTACTTCTGGTTGTACCCATAATGCATAAAAAACTTACCAAAAGGCAAGGTCTCCAGCTTTAAAGTATTTCTAGTTATTATACTTTTATCTCTATTTTTTCACAGAGGCAAGACAACACTCTAATCTAGGTAGGTCAATAACTTTTAATGTATATTTTTCTACTTACCAACAAATCACCCATTGTCCTTTCTCCCTACCTCTTCTTTGTCTCTCTTTTCTGAGTTGTGAAGCATTTTTTCTTTTCCCATGGATAGTTTTGAAGAATATACTGAATGCCTACATTAGCCTGAAATAAATCTGCATCTGTGAAATAGGCTTATAATTAGGGACCTACTCAAATTGCAATTTTGCAGATTCCTGAAATAGGGCAATCTCCGCAAAATTGGGGGGGGGGGCAGGGGACCTCACTAAAAATAAAGTGCTGACTCCCCATTGGGAACCAGAAGTCCTCCCAGCTACACAGCCTGGCATAAACAGGGCTGCCTACATGAAAACAAGCAGACGAGATGGCTACACCCCAACCCTTGCCACTGATTGACTGAGAGGGCTTCCTGTCATGTGGCCCTTCAGTGAGGAGTGGGTCTGCATGGCAGACAGCCCTTTCCACCAGTCAGTGGTAGGGGGTGGTGTCACCAGGGCCCCTCGGCCAATCAGAGGAATGGGGGCACCCCACAACTATAAGCCCATGAAAATAGCTGCCCTTGAAATTGGCTGGCCACTATCTTGAATTGGGTAGACCCCTAATTATAATGACTCTTTGCTAAGATTTGGGATATAGATGGAATATACTATGGTCACTAGCCAGAAGACATGAAACAAAGGGGAAAAAATGTAGCTTTTATAAATGTACTCTGTGTTTTAGTGGCTAGGAATAATTATCAATGTGTATTTTCTGATGCATCATGTTTTTTCATTTTCCTCTGAAAAGAGAACTGTTTCCTGTGGTGCTGCACGTACACATGCCTTAAACAGGGTTTCTTCAGCTTTTCCATAGTAAGGCTCACAAAATAACAGAGGAATGATTTTGGGAAGGAATCATGAACCTCTGTTTTAACATACTTTACCATTTTTGTGGTTACTTTTGGGACATTTTATTGAGAAGACAAATACTTATAATTCAGTTGATGTTACATGATTTCATTACATGACATGATTTCTTTCCTTTTTTGTTTTTTTAAAGAAATGTTTGCTGCAATGGGTTTTGGGTGTTCAGATCTCAGTAGGTTGTGCTGATCATCCAAAACACCCAACACTTCATAAGTTTATCTCTTGAATGGTAAGGTATCACAAATCATGATAAGGGAAGCATGGAAAATGTGTATTTGAATTTGGTTCAGATAAGCACCAGGTAGATCAGGCATTAGCCCTATGATTACCTGATATTTTAGGGTTTTAAGTCTAATAAGAATAAGTATTTTTTATTTCTAGTATTTCAATGTCTTTGTTCCATACCAGCTGGAAATCAAATGGGGAAAGGGAGAAATTCCATCCAAAGATTTGACTTCAACTGTAGAAACAGAAAAAGGAGTGCTGGGTTTATATTATTTTTAAACTGTTCACCTAAATTTAATGGCAAGCTGTTTCCTTAGATGTAAGACTGTTACAAAATACTTCCACTCACATTATTATATCTGATCTATCAGTCTCCTGACTGAAAGGAAATATAAAGAAAAAACTAAACAAAAACTCTATCAAGTTATTGTTGAATTCAAGCAGTATTGCTTCAAAAGGCCTATAACGTTGAGTCTACCTTGGCTTTGAAGCAGTCTGTACACATCCAAGATGGAGCTCACAAGCTCTTGACAAAACTGCACAAGTCACCATGTTCTGCAAAATTTCTGGTGACAGGGCAAAAAAGTGGAAGTACTCTCATATAAAGCAGCAATGTATTCTTCAGAGCAGGACTGTCTGACAGCCGGAAGGCCACAGGCAGTACTCGGGCTCCCATTTTAGGCATTGCTCCTCCCATTGCTCTCCTGATGGTACTACCAGAGTCTCCAGGCTCTGCCTCTGTCCTCCAGCTTTGCTACCTGTTCCTGCCCCTGGGGGCAGGGTGGCATGGTATGGTCTGTAGGGTTAAAGGAGCCCATGACCAGGACTCTGGTGTGGTGGGGTAGGATTTGTGCTGCGCAGTGGGGGATGCCCACATAGCACAGGGGTACTGGTGCAGCGTGTGACAAAAAACTTCTAGAGCCTGTGGCTCCGCTCCCTCACTTACGTTTCTTTTCTTTTTTCTCTTTCTTTGTCTTTTCACATGTCTGTCAACCTGGTTGCCTTGGCTACCAGGTTGCTGCATATGTGACCTGGCTCAGGTAGGGGGAGGTGCATCTAGCCTCTCCATTGTTCTGAGTTCTGACCACATGACATGGGGGCTAGGCTTAAGCCAATGTCACTCCAATAGGTAATGCTGATGTTTTTTCAAATTGATTGGTTGGCATCACATAACAGCCATCCCTGACTGGGTCCAGGTGATAAGGTCGGTAGGGCTACTATGTTGGTGGAGGTAGAAATCCTTTTGAACACAGAATCAAGCTGGGTACCTCCAGAATCCTCTGGACGTTGCTGTGAGTAACATATCTGAATTATAGCCAGTAACTTAAATCTAAGTGTTCTAGATGGGTATTAAAAGAGCCAACAAGCCCCTTATACTGTTTTGCTCAGGGCTGTTTTCTTTCAAAATTCTTTTTTGGTCTGTAGTCCTTCCCTATGCCTTCCCTCTCCAAGCAATAAAGCTATGTATCATAGGAAGCCTGGCAGTAAATGTTTGAAAGAGATCAAGCAAGCCTTTTTGTTCCCTTTGCTCAACTAAGGGAGGCTACTTTCTATGCTTCAGGCTATAAGAAGCACCCAGATATATCCTGCTAGGGTTAAGCAACCCCTAGGTCTACAGGGCCTGTGTACCCTGAGCGGCACAGAGCCCTAACAGAGACCAGAGCTTGGGTGGTGGCAGCAATTACCCCAGGCTTGTGGGTGTGCTCCAGGAAAGGGGTTGCCTAGAAGTTGGCACCCTTTGGGAGGCATCTGAAGCTTGGTTTTGGTCAGGTGCAGTGAGGTGGGCAGCTCAGCACCAGAGCACCCCCTACTAGCCCTCCTCACAATGCAACGTGGGGATACCCATGGCAGGAATGGCCACATGGCATGGCCTGTGGCACACACAGCATGTGGCCAAGGGGGGGAGGGGAGCGGGGATGTGGCCCCCAGCTACTCAGAAGTTGAACAGCCCTGGTTTAGGCTAACTACCATGATGTTCAACAGATACTTAGAGGGTGTGAAAATTTGGTGATTCTAGGTTGATTCGCTAAAAGTTTAAGCTGTAAGAAAATTACATTGCATTGTCAACAAAGTCAGTTACAGAAATGAAATACCATATACATGACTCATTTTTTACACTCATCAGATTTTGATGTAGTGCATTTTTATTTCAAAGCACAAGAAAAGGTTTTTAGTGTACTATATAATAATGTTTCCCTGTTGTACTATCATCTCACCACCATAGGTATGTATTCTCTGTCTCTTTCTTGATAACTTATAATACCATACCATGCAGATAACTGCTACTGTTTGTTTGCTTTGCTCTTTTAGTGATGATACTCATCATTGTCTTTGTAATCCTTCTTCTTGCTCTCACGTTCTGTCTTTGTTACATCTGGATGAAGCTAAAGGTAAGTCTAAACTAATGGTCACAATATTTGTTATTCTCAGTAGCTTATCAGTTCCTTCAATACTCTCTCAAGTTTTCAATGTTCCTTTTCATTTGAAAAAGGTTTTACTTACAATTTGCTCTCCTTTGGGGATTTCTGTCATCGAACCGCACTTTTAATTTTGTTACTCTTAATCAGCATATTATCCCCAACTACCTTGATCACCTGATCTGTCTCCTTCTCCATTCTGTCACCAGCAACCATGCACTGGCAGAAAACTGTCTGTGAAAACATCACAGACCCTGTGGTGATGTCTGCACTACTCCCCTGCTGATTCTTGGGTTGTCACACATTAAGATTCTTCATCTATCCACTCCCCCTCTGCATGTACCGCACTTGGAAATTAAATGCTTAATCTGATCTAGGGAGAACCCACACCCCTTCTCTTGCCATCAAGATCTCTGTCACCAGCATGTTAGAGAGAGTCTTGGGGGGCAGAGGAGAGGGTGGGGGTTGGGGAAGATTCACTGCCTCATTCCCAGATTAGGTATACATGGAGTGGGAGCAGAAGATCAGGGTATACTTGAGTGTGGCACACCACATAAGCACTGGAGAAGTGGGGTAGAGATATATTCTAAATGAATCTAGCACATTCAGTTTAGCCTGAGTGCTATAATACTTTGAGGATAATACACTGCAATTTATTGTATATTAATATTGTTGACACAGAAAAAGTTCAGGCCTTTCCCTGCAGTCTTATCGCTTAAAAAGAACTAAGGCTTACTAATATGTTCAGGCATTAAGCACTTAAAATAGGGTGCAACAGAAGCAGATGGCTATATGAAACAGATTATATAGATTAAAAAATAAGAACAAGATTTTATCTGCTGCTGATGCTAACAGCGTCATTACCATGGTTCTTAGGTATATACAGTACCTGTGTTAACATAATTGTATTTCCTGCACAGAAAGATCAATTTAACCTCAAAAGAGGAGATACAAGCAGAGACGATTCAAGCATTCCGTTAAAAACTATTGAAATGCCAGCCTCAAAATCAGGTAGTGTATTCTTGGTATCCTTGGTTCTAAAAGACTGTGTGTGAAAGGGGTATGTGATAATAGCTGTTATGCTTTAGTCTCTGATACTGTGCTTCACAGGGTCTAAACCAGCACTCCTTCAGTTTCCTCCAAACTAGTCTCCTGCCCAAAAAATATCATTTTGAGTTCTGGACTGAGAAAATCTTCAAATAAAACTCAGTCCATGCCTATTGGTATAGCATTAAACCATGAAACACTATGAATTCTGGAAACCAGGTTCATTTACAAACCATGTTTTATAGTCCCTGCTATTTATATAACAATATTATACAGTACAATTTCTGCATTTACCATCTTACTCTTAATTCATGTACATTTTTCATGTTTCTCTTTTTCCTTTGTGTCATTTTTAGATGGAGAAATGAAATGAAATTCCTCTCAGTTCAGAGCAATTTAATACCTCCTACAAAAAGAATGAATATGACTGAATCTTCCGGGAAATCTGCTTAATCAGAGAAAATGGCACACTCAGTTGTGTAAACTCCTTTAACAGGACATTTTGTGAATCAATAAAGCTAGACGCAATAATTAACAGAGGTTAATTGTTGCTGGCTACTATTAATCTTCCCTTATCCATTTCCTTCTGTTCCTACTCCACTGTGACATTGTTAAAAAGCCAAGTCCCCTAATATAGGGATGTCTTCAAAAGGAAATTACTGTGTTGTAGCTTGGCTGAGAATTTACAGCCCACTAGTTACTCTGTACAAAATCCCCGTATAGACACCATACATCTTAGCAATGCAGGAAGCTACCTTGCACATAAACTACAGTAGGTTCACATGAAGAGGTAAAGCAGAATCGCTATTACATTGTAAATTCATATCCTAGTTTACTGTGCCAAGAAGCAGTGTAATTTAGTTTCTGCAGCACTTCATGTTATCACAACTAGATGCATCTGGGACCTGAGTTATCTCTAAAAGCTCTAGCTTGTACATCTGGCCTACACTGCAGTCCACAATGTAAAGGTACCCTAATAACATCCATGTGTAGGCACATGTACTGTTTTCCAATAGCTGAACCACAACACTGAAGCACAGGCTGGAATCAATATGGACTTGTATCATTGTCCGCAGGAATGGTGGAGGCACAGTGTCTCTCCCAGGTCCCCAGCATGCAAGGCTATTATGTCTCTTCCTTTTCTTTGTCCCTCTCCCCTTCCTTTGAGGTGGCTTGCAGCACTGCACATAACCAGAAGGAAAGTGTTATAGATGATGCAGCACTTGTGCTATCCTGAGTGTAGAGACTAGGATATTCCCGCTTCTACAGGGCACAACTAGATAGGCCCCTATGGCGCCATTGTTGCCGTGCCATTATTTAGTACTTTCTTCTGGAAATACTAAATGACAGTGCAGTAACAGCCTGTACTGCGTCGTGCTGGTGGCGCACAGTTATTTTTAGCCACTACGTCACTGTAGCAATGCATTATAGTGCGGGAGTGCATTGCTACAGTGACAGAGCTTCAGTGTAACAGTTTGAGCCTGCTAACACTAGGTTGCTGTAGCACATTGCTACGGTGATGTAGCGTCATGTGTAGATGCACCCACAGACATTCAGGAAGGGTGGGGGGAAGTTAGATCGTGTTAAAAATGGCCCCCTCATCTAACTTAGTTTGCCCAGGCGTGGACCTTAGACCTAGAGCTCTAGTTAAGCTGATCTAAGTGAAAACTGTACACAATTCAGAAAGTTTAGATTAGTTTAAAGATAGTCCACCCAATCTAAATTAACTGTAACCTGGAGGTAGTCCAACTTAGACTGGGTCCGGCGAAACCAATTTAACTGAATTTCTGTACAATTCTCACAGCAGTGCCAGGACTGGGAAAGCCCAGCCACTAGCCCCAGTGTGGAGGCTCCACTTTGCCTACCTGCCCCCCTGGCACTGGCCTATTTTTTGGGCCCCACCCTAGATGAATAGCCCTCACCATGGATCAACCAGCCCCACTGAGCCTGCCAAATTCCTCATCCTGCAAGATGTTCCCAGTGCTGGTTTTACTGGCATTAGCTGGTGCGGGGAGCCAAGAAATTATGTTGGGGTGGGAGAAGTGGAGAGTGCAATGCTGGGGGGGTTCATCTGGGGATGAAAAATAGCCCCTGCTCCCAGGAGGGAAAGAGCTACCCTTCTCCTCAAGCCCCACCCCCTCCCCAGACCCTGCTGGTCCCTCTGATCCCACCAAAACCCTCCCAGAGTCCACCCGCCCCCCCAAAGGTCCTATTTTGCCCCCCAGATGTTCAGTTCCCCATGGTGAACTATGTTAGCCCCCCTGGCCCTCCTCCATGGACCCCATTTGCCCCTCCAAGTCTCCCAGATCCTCCCATAGGCCCTGCTAGCCCCACACCGAACACTTCTGATCCCCTGATTCCTCAAGCCCATCCACTAGCCCCCCATCCCAACTTACCTTAGATAAGGTGACCATTTTTGACTTGATATAACCTCCTTGAATATTTGTTTGTACCCTCAGTGAAGTCCAAAAGAGGTGCAAGTATAACTTTATGTGCACCTTGCTCCCATCAATATACCTGCACAAAAGCCTGGAACATGTTAATCCCAATTTTTTTGTATATAGCTTGTCTTCTACTCAATGAACTACAGAAAAGGGAAGTTCTGAATAAGATATTTTTATATATAAATACTACACCGCTTCTGGTTTCCCTGAACCTCAGCTCCCCATCTCTAAAACAGGAATAATAGCATTTCCTTACCACACAGAGGTGTTATGTGATGCGGCACTCAGATGTTTGAGTAATGGCAGCCACTGAAGTGCCCAGAAAAGGCAAATCACAAAGAAGCAAAATTTGAAATAAGACTGACAACTGACCAATTTTGTACTGTTTTGGTATGTGCCATCGTATCTTCCTACTATATATTATGAATTTGAGTGATATCAGATTATAATTAATACTCAGCAATCTACAGCGATGAAAAAATAAAATCATTTCACTTACTTACATCAAGGGAAGGGAGAAAAAGGCCCAGAATTGTACTACTGAAGTGAAAGGGGTACTTGTTGTTGACAACACAGGAAAAAACTCCCACTCAGAATATAGACAGAAAATAGCAGGTCCAGGAACTGGGTAAGTGGCACAAGTCCTGCCTACCTTCCTCTCCCCACCCCGCAACTTTGTCTGTGCAATGCATGTGCACTGAGCTCTGAGCTCTCTGGCTACTGCCGGCTCCTGCATAAGCAGTGAGCTCTGACCTCACCAGGTCCTTGGGGTGGAGTCTGGTCAGAGTCCTGCTTTCATGTGGTTCTGAAATCCTGGGAGTGAACGCTGCTAGTGCTTACCTTTCTTCCCTTCCCTGCTGAATTCAGCAGCTGGGGAAAAGACAAATGGTAACTGCAACATTCACCCAGTGGGCTCTGGCCAAACCCCATGCTGAGAGATCGCATGTAGCACAGCCAAAGGGAAGGGATGTGATTGTGCCACAATGTCCCATGTGGATCCACCCTTGGAGAAGGCTGGTTGGAAAAGTTCCCCACTTTCTTCCAGGTGCTTAATAAATGGCTGATATGTTTTTTCTTATTTGTACATATTCTAAGTTATGGATAAGATAATTACAACAATTATGTTTTACTAAGTATTGCAGTTATAGCTATCTTTCCTCAGAAGAATAATAAAATCTAAACTGTTGAAGAATCATCCATCACCTGGTTTTGTTTGATGTATGATAGAAATATTCTGCAGATTTTACTTCGGTTAAATAAATATCATTGTCAAGTTGGATTAATTGAACATTAAGCATGTGTTTAAGTGTCTTTACTAGATTAGTGCTATACAGGGTAACAAATGGTGCTAGCTAAATGCTGTAGAAATGGCCTTCACAAATATTTGTTCATTCTCAGCCAGCAGTTCAGGTCATCCATGTTTAAATCCTATTTTATTTGATCTTTCCAAATATTTGTGTGACTGGCACTTTTTACAAATGTTTGTGTAGTGGCTGTACTTTGTGTGACCTTTTGTGAGAAGTTGTGTACTATCAGAGTACTTGCTGTTCATTATTTGGTCCTTATTGTTTGTTATCAGAGTGCTTCAAATGCTTTTCACCCATTCAGCAACCCCCCAAAATATTCTGACGTAGGTGACCAATCCCAAACCATGAATATTGAATGTCAGATAGCAGAATGACTCGCAAACTGAGAATTATTTGTCTATGCTTCTAATTTGTCTGTGCTCATCTTGTGCATGTTCATCTTCTAATACAGCAAGATCAAGTAGCTTAAGTTGCAGCAAAGTCTATTTTGGTTATGAATTTGGAAAATAAAGGTTTGACTATAAAAAGAGAGTAAAGCACTGATGTAGGATATTTAGAGAAACACGGAACCCTGTTTATTAAGATTTTTAAGATCAGTTAAGATAAGCTTCCTTGAGGCATTGTCCAGATATACAAAGTCCTGCCTGAAAGCAAGAGGATGGACTAGATGACCTGCTGAGGTCCCTTAGCCTCACAATTCTATGAGCTCTGTGAAATACATTAGTAGAAAACTAGATCTGTTTAGGAATGATTTGTGAATCAAAACTAAAAGGTCAGTTGTTTTGCAATATATAATTCAAAAAATGCCAGAAATACTTTCTCCCATTTTAACTAACTAGCCCTCACAATGACTTGTCTTCATTGTTTTTGGACTTAAAATGTCTACCAACTTACCTTAAGTATTTTTAAGAGAGACCACAATTAACTTTCATGCCCCAGAGGTGATTAAATGGTAGATGTGAAACTCATTCCCATCCTGGTTTCAGACAGAAGTGAGAAGATGAGAGAGGACAGTTTTCATTACCTCATCAGAGTCAGGGATTATACAATGTGTACTTCTATTGTCATTTATTCTGTGAGAATCACAATTCTACTTTGCATTAATAAACTCTGGAGGACAACTGATAGCCATTGCTGTGTTTTGCTAATAATCTATTTAAGCATAGTCCAAAGTAGCAGCCTAAAAAATGCCTTTGGCCAAAAAAATTCTTGTCAAAGGCTGAATGTGATTTATATGGTGAATCAATATATTTATTAGGTAAAACATATAAATCAGTAAGCTTTAAGAGTATTAGTGAGTAAAGGTATTGGGAATATTGTATTTTTATTTATATTTCATGTGGTTTTAAAATTGTACCCTGTTCGTCTATCAAATTATATGTTTTGAATAATAATTTTAAATAGCTTTATTCTCACCATTGTTTTATTAACAAATCTTCTGGGAGAAAACATTATGCATCCTAAATCATTATACAACTTACATAGACGTGACTAGAAGTTCTTTTTCATCTCGCTCGATAGAAAAGCAGAGGGTGAGCATAGCAACATGGAATCCAAAGTATGGGTAAGTATTAAAAATGGCAGTTTTTAACTGGTAGCTAGGTAATTGCCACTTATGCACATGAAAGTGAAATAGGATTTAGCTTGCTGTGTCTTAAGGAGGACTCATATCTAAAGCATATCTGCTTATGGATCCCCAAAATATTGCATCAGTTATGGAAATATGCTTTGCCCACATTCACAGAACTCAGGTCCAAGAAAATGTAAAAGCAGAAACCTGGAGTCTAGATACCCCATGTACATCTGAAAGAGGATTGTGCTCAAATACTGGAAAACATTGGATTCTGTGAAGTCAGCAGTGAAAATGCTACCCAAAACTTCACAAAGCATTCCTGATGGTGCTAATGCATTCACATTATGTATATTATAGTGCTTTCCCTGTGGCTGTCATAAGGAGGTGTTTAATAATGGCACTGATTGTTTGGAGAGACGTAGTTAGCTTTGTTAGAATGAAGTCAGGCAGAAGGCAGGGTAGATGTGCTCTTTATATAGACTAACTAAAATCAGAGATGTATAAACATTTGTAATCAGCTGCTTGCTTCATCAGATGCAGTGAAGGGACTGCAGGAAGCAGAGCTAACAGAAAGCAGTGATTAGAATACAAAGGGGAGGAAAAGAAGGGGGCAGTGCTGAGGGAAGTAAGGGGGCAGAAGAAAGGAAAAACATTGTTATGTATAGTCTATCTGGATTAGCTTTTATAACCCCTGTGTCCCTCAATGGGTTAACTGATTTGTTTTTCTCTTTCCCACCCACCTTGCCTCTCTCAGCAGGGCCCCTTCCTTCTTCCTCCCCCTTCCCTAACCTTCATATTCTAATCAGTGATTGCTTGGTCATTCAGAGATTCCCCGCTATGATACAGTCATGGAAACTATTAATAACCTGAAGCTTGCTTTAACCTCTCCCCTCCAACATGAGTGGTACAACTATATAAAAGACAACATACGACATCATCACAGCATATCTTTTTCTTTTCCTCTGTGTGTGTGTGTGTGTGTGTGTGTGTGTGTGTGTGTGTGTGTGTGTGTGTGTGTGTGTGTGTGTGTGTGTGTGTGTGTGTGTGTAAATTCTCAGTCC